AGGCCTGGGGGATTCTGGGCTCCCTGGAGGGGAGGGGCTTGTTACTGTGAAGGGTGGGGCTGGCTGTGCTCAGTGACACTTGGCAGAAGCTAGGCCCTGCCAGCCTTGTCAACACCACACAAGTGACAGCAGTGTCAAGGCTTGCAGGTTCCAGTCTGTGGAGGCAGGTTCATTGGCAGGAAAGGGACAGGGGTGCTGGCATTGTCATTCCCCCCAGAGGAGGTCCACACAAGCCTAGCTCTGTCATATGTATGTAGGCTGCAAACACACTAGTTGTGCTGTGAGGTCCTTCGGGGGTGACTTCAGCCCGAATCCACCAGCCTCATTGGATCCTGCCTAGTTTTTGTGGCCCATCCCTTCTGGAAGCTCTGCTGACTTCCAGTCTCCATTGATTCACAGTCTTCTGATCTTGGCAAACAGTGGCCAAGGCTGAGTTCCGGTCTCTCCAGGTGCTGCCCCGGCCCTACAGATACCGGCAGCAATCTCAGCAACCCTTCTTCCACAATACTCAGGCACACGAGCAGGGGGCACCAGGCCTCCGAGCAGCCTCCAGCAGCCTCCAGGGCAGTGGTGTCGGGGGTCCCAGCACAGGAGGCCCGCACAGTGTAGAAACCTCACCTCCCCAGTGAAGGGCACTCTGCACCACGTTGCCCAAACACACTGGGCTATTACACTCCTCTGCTCTGTTACTCACATTATTTACTCTCCCTAAATGCACTCACACATTTGTTGAACCTACAGGGATGCATGTTCCTACTGTTGGCAAACACTCTAGCCCGGAGACCCTACCCTCATTCATTCATTCCCTGGCCACCTACACCAGGCCAGGCACCAGCTGGGCCGGGCACCGTGCTGGGTCCCTGCCCTCATGGAGCTGGCTCACCAGTACAGGGTCAGTACAGCCCTGAGAGGCAGTGTGCCAAGTCTGCGATCGCCATGTGCACAGAACACGGGGGTGAGAAGAAGCGAGACGTGTGTGAGCCCCTGGGGAGACTCATCCTGTTATTGTTCAAACCCCTGACCACCCGGATGCTGCTGGCCTATATGGCACCTTTGTGTGAAGTAGAAAAAGGGACTCCCTCTGGGTGGGAGAGTTAGAAAAAACAGCCCCTCTGACTGTCACAGCTTTATGGGTACACAGCCTGCTGAGCAAATGGTCTCTGTGGGAGGAAAAGTGCCTCTGTGTCCCCAGCAGTGTCAGCCCCTCACCCCCCTGCCAGGCATCTTTGCAACGTGCACTATCTGTGCCCTGCACACCTTCTACTACATGGAGCAGGCCCTGGGTGCAGCTGTGTGGGCGATGTTGTGGGGGAGCACAGCCCAGGCGCCCGGGAGGCTTGTTGCAGGAGGAGGTTCCCCACCCTCCAGCCCCACCAGCGGGCGCTGCGGCCCACGCGGCCGCCTCACAGGGTTTCATCCATTAGGGACCAGGGTCTTTAGTGTTCTTCGGTTGCTGAAAGAAGCAGGATGCTGTCAGCTACCATAAAAATGTGACCTTTGAAAATTTACAAGAGCTCGGGTTTAAAAGCTGCCGCGTTAATGATGCATCCCATTAGCATCTCATTAAAGGGAAGCGGAGAGAATCCTGCTCATGCAGGCTGATGGGCAGAAAGGGCCACTTCGTGGGGCCCAGGCAGGAGGAGGGCTCTACTCGTCTGCCTTTCTGCCAAGTGCCATCATGTCACAGGAGCAGAAGCATGGCCAGGAACTCGGGGAAAAGGCCAAATGTCTGGGTGGCTTCACGGATGTCTGGGACGATGGCAGTGGCAGGGGGCAAGGGGAGGCTCTCCCAGCCCCGCCTTCCTCCCCCTGCCCGAGCTGTTGTCCTGGTTGGTTTCTGTGGCATTCTCCTGTGCAGGGCAGCCCCCGGTGAGAAGCGAACCTCCAGGAGTCTGGCACTTGGGCTGGGGTGGCTGGGAGAGCCTTTGGTGGACCTCTGAACTCTGGATCGTGGGGGACAGGCTTAGCAGGAGCTGGGTTCAGAGCTGGAGCCACGGACCCGCGCGTGGTCCCCCAGATGCCTTCAGAACCCAGGACCACAAGTTGACTTTGGACCTGGGGCCTTTTACAGGAGGAGGGGCTCTGGTCAGGCGGAGCTCACGCATCACCGGATGCTCCTCTCCCACCTGGGCGCCCAGGCGCCTCCGAGAAGCACGACCCATTTCTGTGTTTTTTCTGGAGGGAGTAGAGAATGGAATGTTCATGTCATTATTTTAATAAAATAAGTAAAAATTCCTGAGGTGCAAGTTGCCCGTAGCTTCAGAAGCTGCTGGTGCCGGGTAGAATACGAGTGGCCTTATTTATCTTTCCTACAGAAAAAAAAATCCTGTTTTTCTTACAGCAGAACAAATTTCTTGTACACAAGAACTTGCTTGTAATACTCATGAAAGACACAGCCAGACAGCAAATCTGCTGTAGCCACACCCGGTCGTCCCCAGCGCCCCAGGGCCCCCTGCACCCCAGCTCCCTTCAGGAGTCTGAGTCCTTCACTGTTTGCCGAGTGCTTAGGTAGCCGAGTGCTTTGCACTCTGCTGAGGATCAATGTCCCCAGTGCCTTGGGCCAGGTTGGGCACAGAACAGGGGCCCAGTGCTTGTTTAATGAACAAATCAACTATCCAACAAAGGTGCAAGTGACTGAGCTGACAGGAGTGTTTTGAAACCAATGTTGGGACAAAAACTAGAACTCCTGAAGTTGTAGAGTTCAGAATCTGGTTGCCCGCCCTTGAGGGGGACCCCAGCCGCCTCTGCTGGCTGCAGCGCCTGCTGTAAGGGCCAGGCCCAGGCCTCCAAGTTTCCAGAACCCTCCCCTTGCCTGTCGAGGTACCAGGCAGGCCCTGGACGCTGACTCAGCAGGGGAGAAATGAGACTATAGAAGTTCCCTGAGAACCAAACCTGCCCCTGGCCTGGGAGACCCACAGAAATCCAGGGTAGCAGAAAGGGGCTGCAGCGCCCCCTACTGGCAGGAGGGGTTTCTGTCTTACCAGTGAAAGAGGGGTCTGGGGAGGAGGCTGGGGTGTCGGCCTTCCAACTTCACCCCAGATAGGGCCCTGGATGGGGCATCGTACAGGCTCTCCCCACCCCCACAATGCCTCTGATTATGGGGAAGCAGCCTGTGCACCTCTAAACCCACCAGCACCCCGAGAACCTGGAATGCAGAGGGGCTGCAGGCTGGAACCGTGGGAGGCTGTCTATTAGAGAGCACTGTAGAAGCCGCACTATTTCCATGAGTCCCGGGAGGCTGTTGGTGAGTGTGGCTAAGTCCCCACCCCTCTTGCCCACCCCAAGCTCTCATCTGTCCCACAGACAGAAATGGGGCAGGAGCCTCTGATAAGGAAGCTTGTCTGTTGAATTGCTCTTTCCTCAGGAGATTCACTCTTTCCCTTTGTTTCCCACTCTGTTCACAAAAGCCAAGCCTCTGAAATGCAGGCCAGAGATAAAGTGCAGCCTAATGCAATTAGCTCAGTGCAGCCTTCAGCCCTAATGGGATGCGGCTCCGCTCGCTCCTCCCAGCAGGCCAGGTGCAGGCGCTGCTTGTCCTCTGCATTAAGCATCAAAGCCCCGGTAAAAGCTGTCTGCCCTGCCACGGGTACACCCCCTACCCCTACTGCCAGAGAGGCCCCGTAGGGGGCGCTGCCCCCCACAGCTGAGCCACTGGGTCAGCTTCCATCAGAAGTCACCAAGACCATGGCCTCCCCCAAGAAAGGCCCGCAGCTACCCCTCGGGGCTCCTTTGGCCTTTTGCGACTGTCTCTAAAGGGCAGCTGTCTCTGCCCCCATCCCACTTCACCCTTCACCCCAAGACTTTCTGGACTCCGGCTGAACTGCTGGGAGCCAAGGTCACTCCGGAAACCACCTCTGCGGAGACCCACGCCCCCTCACACCTCAGTTACCCCAGGCCCGGGCTCTCCAACATGCTTTCTGGATTTTTTTTTTTTTTTTTTTGCTTATTATATAGGGTGGGACAAAAGTAGGTTTACAATTGTGACTCAAAACAGCTTATTCTTGTATTATCATTTCTTAATTATTGACTGTAAACCTACTTTTGCCCCACCCTGTAATTATAATGGTAACGATGGTAATGGTCATAGTGGGAAATGTGGCAAATACAGAAAAGTGTGGACGAGAGAACGCGTTACCCATAATCCTCTCACCCAGGGCGGCATCTCTGCTAACATTTTCGCTTTCCCTCCTGCACGTATTGTCCACATGGTGAGGTTATATTTGTGTCACTTTGTGTCCTGCTTTTCTCATTTAACATTACAGAGTAAGCATTTTGCCGTCTCAGGAAGGACTCTTAGTAAACATGATTTTTAATGATTATGTAATATTACACCATCAGGCTGTAACTCAGGGAGACCAGTGCTGGCCTCATGATTGCTTTCACCTGAGGATCATTTTCTCTTTAATTATCTGAGCTAGAGCGTGAGATCCTGGAGCCAGCAGCCTGCCTCTTTCCTGGTGACAGGATGGGAGTTTTCTTCCCACTAACCTGGGTCCCACCCTACCTGTCTCCGAAGTGGAACTTCCAGGGGCTCCAAGGCTGGAGTGGGGGCAGGATGGGGCCTGATAGTTGAGCGGTTGTCTACATGTCAAAGGGCCAGGCATGCGGTGGCACTGAGCGTGGACTGAGTACAGAGTCAGTGCTCAGTACATACCCATGGATGCTGTTGTAATTTATTAAGGGGGGGCCTTCACATCTCAGGGCAGAATGCTCCTTCCTCTGTGATAGCTCAGTGCAGTGAGTGGCCACAGAGCGTGGCCCAGGAGGTACTGGGTTGGGTGCTCCTGGAGGTGGGAGTTTAGCAGAGGTCACAGCTGCTACTACTGTGCCAAAATGCTCTGTCATTCCCCCGGGGAACTGGATGTGGCCCAGGGCTCTGCCTCTGGCCCTGTGGCCCAGGCAGCAAGAGGACTGCTGGGGGCAGGGGAGAGGGGGGAGGTGGATCCCAGGGCAGGACCCTTGCCAGGCTGTGCTCACCCCCCTGCTCTGCTTCTTCCCAGGCACCCGGCATCTCCAAAGCAGACAGTCAGTCCCAGGGACTCACGACCAGCATCCGGTGGGGGCAGACGCCCATTAATCAGTCCACGCCCTGGGACACTGATGAGCCACCCTCCAAACAGATGAGGGAGAGCGACAATCCAGGTGTGTACTTCCTGCATGGATGGAGGCACCTATGCCCAGGGCTGGGTGCCCCAGTGCTTCAGCAGGTCCTGACCCACGGGCCTGCAGCAACCTGGACCTCAGGCTGGGTTGAGTGGGGCACGGACACTGTGTCATTTCCTGGGCAGTAGTTATATCTCTACCCTCTTTTTCTGCTACTCAAGAAAGTATTTGAGAGAAAGCAAGGGCTTAGGACTGACTTTGAATCTGCTTAGGGTCGGTTATTAGTTAGTTATTCCCAAACATCAGTACCCTGATCATAACAAATTTCTCAAGTCACCCTTCCAATGAGGTTCTGCCTGGCCATGGTTACATGGGGATGGGATACACCACCCCCCTGTACTGGGGATTCACTCACCACTTCCTACGGCACCCCAGGCCTTCTTTGAACAGCTGTGACCACAACAAAAGCCTTCTGTGTTCTCTCCCGTTGGTCTCAAACCTCCCCTTAGGCTACACAGACCTGTCCACTTGGCCTTCCATACCACAGCCCTGCAGGTAGATATCTGGAGATCCCACTCCTCCCCCCTCTAAGTCTTCTGTGGGTTAAACACCCAATTCTTCAGCCATACCCAGAGCCCATAGATTCCAGTCCCTCTACCTTCAAAGGAGTTGCTCCCATTGCATTATTCAGCAGTGATCCCAACACAAAGAATCCATGTGTGGTCCTCCCAGCGCCTCCTTCTTTCAGCCCCTCTGCTTTGACCCTTGCAGCCTGACGTCACCTCTGCTCTGCTGGTAGCCACATCCCATGCTGTCTCAACAGTAATACTGACCCCAGTACTGCATGTGGCTACTCTGACCCCGTCCCTCTCCTCTCGATCTGGTGAGGCAGCTGGGCGTGGATACCTTGTCAATGTCTTCTTGTGACCTGCAGGATCTCTTAGGTTCCTGCTTTTATTGCTGACCTGTGCCTAACCCTCCCAATAGTCTGTCACCTGCAGACTTAGTCATGATGTCTTCCATATCATCATCTGGACACTGATAACGGTGTGAGCAGGGCATGGTTCACACCATCAGACACCTCTCTAGGTCTCCAGCACCCTCTGGGCCATCCCAGGCTCATGAATCAATAGCCTGCTTGGCACAGCATCTCTGTATCTTCCCCACAGAGTTACCTGAGACCTCCCAGCTGTGCCCTGAAGTTCTGGGGCATGTTTTTCAGGCTCCCTGGCTCATTCTGGAGAAAACTGAGCTTAGCAGGGCACACTTTGTCCTTAGGACACCAGGCTGCCTCACGGTGATGCCACCTCCTCTTCCTCAGGCTGGCGGACAATCCCCCTAAGCAGCCCTTTCTCGAATCTTGCTGGTACCGCTTCCCTGACATTTGCCAGCTCCTAGTTTTCTCCACCCTCTGTCGTTATCAGAATCAGAACTATTTGTTGCACAGGGATGATGTGCCTTGTTCTGTGTCATCTCCATGCTCGAGGCAGCCCTGTGAAGCTGGTGCTAGTATTGTCCCATTGCAGATGAGGAAACTGACTTGGGGGAGGCTTGTGCCTAAGGTCACTCAGCTGGTGAGGGCAGAATCAGGCCTCACGCGCTGTCTGTCTGTCTCCAAGCCTGGCTGTCCACCGCCGCACCCCGTGGCTCTCACTTTGGACGCCTCCTGGGGGACAGCGCCCTCTGGTGGTTTGATAGTTGCCCTGCCATCTTGGTTCTCCCCCTGCCTCTTAATCTTATTTCTGAGGGGGGACTCCCAGCCCCAACTTCTAGCCTCTGAGGCTGGTGGTCCACTCTCCTTCCTCAGCCCCTCGCCCTCAATCTACACTGCCACTCCAGATGCATCATGAAAGCTAAGGTGACATTCAGGTGACAGAGACCTAGATCCACACTCATTCAGTCAGAGGAAACCCAGACAGGCCTTGCCTGTCACAGTATCTTGCAGTCTCACTCACAGGCCTGCTTGAGTCATGTCAATGGCAGCTCGGTTCAGAGGGCTCTGGGCCTGCTCAGGTCTCAGGAGGTGTGTCTGACTCCCTTGTTCAGCCACAATTCCCTTCAGGGCCACAATGGACTTCTCACCTTTCCCCCAAGGCTGGCTGGCCCCCCAGCAAGGCCATAGAGAGCAGCTCCTACCGACCTTCCCATGCCACCCACACCCCCAGCTCCGCCCTCCTGCAGCACAGGGCCCTTGCCCGGCCTCAGGCTCTGCTGCTCTTGCCTGGCCCAGCAAACACCTACCATCGCGATCCGGCTGCCACCCCACCCTCTCAGACAGTGATTCTCTAAAAGGAAGGAAAATACCAATGTGTATGGAACTTTTAACACACACTAGACACTGCTAGTTTTTTAAATACATTTTTCTCATTCAGTTCGTCCCAGGAGACCTCTGCGGTAGGTGTTGCTAGTTCCATGTAACAGGTGGAAAGAGCGAAGCTCAGAGAAGATAGGCAACTTACCCAGGCTCTTAGCTAGTAAGTGGCAGGGCCAGGATTTGAATCCAGATCTCCTTGAAGGCCTCCCATTTTTCTCTCTGCTTTGCTGCCTCTGAGCCCTGCAGCCATCTGTTCACATATTCCCACAGCCCTTCTCTTGTGCTGCTATAATCAGACTCTTACTCTGAGTTCCTGGGCACAGTGTCTTGTCCGCCTCTGTGACCCCAGCAGCCAGCCCAGGGCCTGGGGCAGTTGGTGTTTGTTGAGTGAATGTATAACCGCCAGATAACATCTCTTCCATCTCCCTTGCAGGCACAGGGCCATGGGTGACCACGGTGGCCGCCGGGAGCCAGCCTGCCCTGATCGCACACTCCTATGGAGTGGCCCAGCCTCCCACCTTCAGCCCGGCTGTGAACGTCCAGGCCCCGGTCATTGGGGTGACCCCCTCACTGCCTCCACACGTGGGGCCCCAGCTCCCGCTGATGCCAGGCCACTACTCGCTCCCACAGCCGCCCTCTCAGCCACTGAGCAGCGTGGTGGTCAACATGCCTGCCCAGGCCCTGTATGCCAGCCCACAGCCCCTGGCCGTTTCCACACTGCCTGGCGTGGGACAGGTGGCCCGCCCGGGACACACCGCGGTGGGCAACGGTCATATGGCAGGGCCCCTGCTGCCTCCACCACCACCAGCCCAGCCGTCTGCCACTCGCCCCAGCGGTGCCCCTGCCACCAATGGGCCCCCCACGACCGATTCAGCCCACGGGCTGCAGATGCTGCGGACCATTGGTGTGGGGAAGTATGAGTTCACCGACCCTGGGCACCCCAAAGGTAAGTCCTGCTGCCACATGCTCCCTGTGTGCCTGCGCCTGTGCCTCCCACGTGGTCACTACTACAGCACAGACAGGAGTGCGGCTCCCGGTGGCCCGTCCCCTCCACCAGCAGTCTGCTGGCCTCCACCACCCTGGAGGCTGCAGTAGGGCCTCCCCCAGCCTCAGACAGGAGAAGCAGGGGAGGAGGGAGACGGGACAGGAAGGCAGGGCAATGTGAGTGGACAAGAAGAGGAGGGGAGGGGAGAGTCTGCAAAGTCCAAGGTCCTTTTTCCTCCAGCCCAAGCCCTGGGCCATTCTCACCTCTGACACCAAGGGCAGAACAAGCAGGAATCACCTGTTCCCCTTAGGGCTCCATGAAACAGTCCCTTCAGGCCTTCTCCAGCGGACAGTGGGAATATGAACTGTCCGTGTGTCCCTCTCCAGAAAAGCACCCTCGGCCGTGCCATTGGATGAGAGCGCCTCCCGGGGCATTCGCCGAGGCCCTGGAGACACTCCCAGACCACCCTGAGCCAGCTGAATTTTTTTCATTTCAAGGACCCAAAGGTGTCTCAGTGAGGTTCTGAAAAGAGCACTTCCAGGCCTCACCTTCAGTTAACCCCGTGCCCTACCCCAGGGCAGTTTTCAAGGCAGATCCTAGGGAGCAGAGCCTGGCGGAGGGAGCATATCAGGACTGGTTCTGGTCATGAGGTTAGGGCAAAGGGCCTCAGCAAACAGGCCTCCCTCTGCCATCTGTCGGAGGGATCTGTCCAGCAAGATGCAGAAGGGGGTGGGAGGACCAAGGAGGCGGGAGGTCCGGTGGGCACGAAGACCGGAGGCCACAGACATGAGGCTGGTGGATCCTTAGAGTTCCAGACAGCTGGGTCCTGCTCCTGCCAAGTGCAGAACGGAGGCAGCCAAGCCTTGTTTGAAAGGGAAGGGGAGGGTAGGTGGACCTACAAAGTGTGGGTCTCTGGGCACGATTCTCAGCCTCCCTATTTACAGCCCCTTGAGATTGCATCCCGGGGCCTTGCCTCTAAGCGGAGCACTGACTCCCACTAGCCGTTCTCTGTCCCCTCGGCTCTCATGAATCCTCATCTTCATGGTTTCTGGTGATTTCCAGGCCTTGTCAAGCATCCCAACAGCAAAGCTGTGCCTAGATCTTCACTGGGTTTCATTCCCAATCTCATGGCGCCCTGACTGCCTTTGTTTTGGAAATCAGCACTAGTTTTAAATGAGAAAATTATAGAAAATTACATCTAAATTCTGGTAAAATTCTGCTTTGTTTAAGATTTTTTTTTTTAATTGACTAAATTAATTTTTTGTTTGAATTGTTTTGGTTAAGCTCACTCTCCCTTTACAAAAACACAAACTTACTCCCAGTTTATATGTTGCCAACTCTGACACAATGGACACTGGGCATCCCAGCTGCTCCCAAGGCTTTGCCAAAGCCTGAGGCTCTGGGTGGGTTCCCTTCTCCCCACCAAGGGGAGGATCACCCCCTACCCTGATGGCATCCTGGGGCTGGTGAAAGGTCTTGCTGACTTGCCATGTTTCAGACATACATCTAGGAAAAAGATTTGTTCTGTGCAAAAAAGTAACTGGCCCCGGTTGGACTGGAGCCCCTCATTTGGGGTTTAGCAGGGAATTGGGATCCGCCTCCCAAAGCTGCCAGGCACCCAACCGGCATGTGTCATCGTCATCAGGCACCTGAGTCCACAAGATCAGGAAGATGCAGTGGGACAGGCCCCTGCTGGTGGCCCCTGGGCACACTGGGCCAGCGGGTCATTGCAGAGTGGCACCTATAACGTCTTCGTGGGGCCAGAGGACATGGACCACCCTCTACAATGGGCACAAGCCCCTGGACAGGAGGAGAGACAAAAGAAGGACCTTGATGGGCTTCCCTCTGCCAGCCCCAAAGGGTAAATTCAGTGCTTGGTAAGGCCAGGGATAGGGTGTGCCTAGAAAGTGTTCACAGCGCCCCCTTCTGGTGAGCCAGTGAGATTTCCCCCACAGCTCCAGCCAGTGACAACCCTCATGCAGACTCCCATAGTTTGCCAGAGAGCTGGCTGTTTCCCCAGAAATTACATTTAACTCACTTCTCTATTTACAGCCCTCGTCAGCTGATTTATCTCCTTATATACGGGGTGAAGAGAGACAATGAAACACATATACACAAAGGCCTCCAAACTCAAGCCTGTTGAGTTTGTTGGGGTTTTTTTTTAAAGTAATTTCTCCTTTCATTTCTAATCCAAAAAGCCTTTATTGCTAAAGCTATAATTTGTCTGTCAGATCTAATGTCAAACAACTGCATATTTTTTAAAATAAGAAACCTGAATTTTGAAACCAAATCTTTGGAACTCGCCATGTGAGAATCATATCCCTGACAAGACTGTGTGGGTTTGGATTTGGGTCACTTTTAATTTCGCCCCTCGGGATTTTACATCTCCAGAGCCCAATTGATTTCACACTCCTAAATGACAGACAGCCGGCTCCAAGTGGGAACCAGGAGGCCCTGCGTGATGGCATCAACACTAGTCTGAGCTCCACTTTAAAAAAGAACTTTCCTTCTCTCCTGTTCACTGTTTGAAACCTTGCCCAGCATTATAATAAGATCCACCATAGCTCGCCTTGAGATCTAGCTCATTAAAGTCCCGAGATTTTTCCCTACTATTGTTTGACGTGACAACCTGGCCTCTCACGGGGTTGAGTAATTATGGAGAAATCCCATCCATGAAGAGCAGGTCTTGCCAACCAGAGGGATGGGCCACTGGTATTTTTAGACTTCATTAGTGCCCTGATTTAAAATTTCACATTTTGTTTCTTGTAATTATCTTCCAATCGACTGAGCTAAAATTTCAGTTGGGGCTATTTATGTTAGCCTGCCTTCCCAAAAAGGGTGTTGGGACTTTAATTTAAAACTTAACCAGTTGAAAAATAAAGGTGGTTTTTGATTTGTAATAGGTCAGGCTACTGTCTCTCATCTGTGACTAGAGAAGGCAGCTTGCATGCAGTTCACTTTAATGAGTGTTATTTAAATGCATTGAGCACATATAGATTTTCTTAAGAAATTTACAGGATAAATCTTTCTTTCTCTAAGAACCATTTGAGGGTGGGAGCAATCTGTGGGGTTTCTTTCTTTTTTTTAAGGTTATATATTGAAAGCTAATTAAAATAGATTTCATGTGTGCAAAGTGATAAGGGAGGAAAAAAGAATTAGTTCCATTTGTATCCTGTTATAAAATATCTGAGCCATTCATCTTGTTGTTGGATTGGAACCCCTGAGCTCATCCATGAGTGAGGTGGTGGCCAACCTCAGGCCTTGAAACCTTCAAGTCTAATGTCACTGCACTGGCGCCACGTGAGCCCAGCTGGTTGTGTCACAGCAGAGATACAAGCTATGGATGTCATTCTTTCTATCCCGTTTCTTTTGAAAAGGATTACTGGTAGCTAATAGGGTAGCCAGAGACCTTGTAAGGCCCCACACCCTGGGCCTAGTAGTGATGCAGAAACACTGCTGCATTTTCACCTGCATGTCCGAGGAGAGAGAAGCCAGGCTGCTCCTGCTCCCAATTGCTTCTGGACCAAAAAGCAAAGTCCAAGCTGACGTGAAGTGAGGAGGCTTGTCTGTTCTGACTTTAGATTTTTTAGGCCCAGAGTGAGTGGCCAAGAGGATTCCCAGGGTCGGGAAACATGCAGTGTGTGCAGCCCCTTCCTGTGGTTCCACAGCTGCTCGCTTCCCGTCCTTGCCCCTGGACCTCCGCCCCACGGAGCTCTGTCTGGCCTCATGCGGCCTTCTGCTTGGCAAAGGCAAGGTCTGCTAAAGATACTTGGAGGCATAGTGAACAGCTGTGTGGCTGGAGCAAGTCTCCTAACTTCTCTGAGCTCTCTTTTTCTCGTCTAGCCTCATGCAGCATAGAGGAGAACTTAATAAGACCAACTAGACTGCGAGCTCTGGGGGTGGGGCCCACAAGTGCTCTGTCCGGTCCCTGTGCCACCCCCGGTTCCCCAGCCAGTGCCTGGCTCTGCGGGATCCTCAGGAAGCATGAGATGGTTGAAGGCACAAAGCGCTGGGCTGGAAATGACCCGCCTCCATTCTGTGGCTTCTCTCCAGCTGCCTCCCTGTGTGTGCTGGAAGCAGGTTGGTACCCAAGGCCCTGAGCATATAGGAAAGTGCCCGTGTGGGACTTTGTTCTTCAGCCCCCCCCCCCATGCCTTCCCCACACTCCTGGGAACAGAAGTCCATGTACTCCTGTACCCCAGAACCTCCACCAAAATACTGGGGCCAGAGCATATGGGATCTGCAACTGTCTCAGTTTCTTCATCCAGAAAAGGGAGATATAATAGAACCTGCTTCTTCCAGCTGTTGTGGTGAGTAGGCGAGCTATTTTACCTAAAGCCCAGGAATGGTGCCTGGCACATAGTAATCACTGTAAAAGTGGCTGCTGTTATTAGTCTCACTACCGGTACCAGGACCATCTTTCTGTGTCCATGGTCTCCTAGGGGCCCAAATGGGACAAAGCCAGGACCCGTTTGCCTTCCAGAGTCTCAGGATGTTGCGTGAACAGCATTAACATCGTGATGCTCACAACACCTAGCTCCCAGGGGTCCACTCTGAACAGGAGAAATGCGCCTTTCTCCTCCCACAAACATTTGACCTCCACCATCGCCATAACAGCCAAAAGGAACCAGACCTGTTGCTCAGATCTTCCCCCTAATTCCAGAAACCGTTTGTCTTGGGAAGGCTCCTCCTAACTACCCTCGAGGGCTCTCAGCATCCTGTGACATTCAGCTTGATATCAGGGTGCCAAGGACACTGCAGAGGTCACATCAATAGATGGGACAGACCAACCAAAGCAGGTTGGTCAGAAGGATGCGGCTGGCGGCTGGCGGCCGGGAAGGGGGCCCGAGGCCCAGGTTCTGCACCAAATTGCTTGGGTAGAATTCAGATTCCACTACCCGCTAACCCAGTGAACTTGTGCTAGAAAGCTGGTGTCTCTAAGCCTCAGTTTCCTTATCTGT